CTTAAGGACCACACACGGATAGTGTAACTAACAGTTATTAGTTAAACGGTTTTCATAATTATGCTACTGGCTGTTTAATAGATCACATCAGTCGTAAGTTATGCATATAGCCTAACTAGTGTGACAGCTCTGCAGAAAATCCCGTTGGTCTGTTTCGAGCGCTGGAATGCGAGCTGATGCGAGGGGCGGTCTCGCGCTGCGCTCAACACACAAATATGTGGATGTTTCTCAGACTCCAGAGCGACACGGTTGAAGCGGTTTATTTCTCACAGCAGCCCAGCGCACAGAGGATGCGCCTCGCGCCTTTTCAGAGAGCCGAGGTTCAGCTTTACTCATAACTCACCTTTATCACAACCCGAAGACACTGAGGACAACTTAAAGCACTTTGAACAGAGTACTGGAATATTTCTCTCATGTAACATGGACAGACTGCAGACTCGAGGTCAACCGGCGGATGTTCAGCGACAGTGAATGGAGATGAGGTTCAGTTAGTCCATGATGGATCACCATCACGATTTGAAATGTAAAATAGTTGTGGTCGGGGACACTCAGTGTGGGAAGACGTCTTTGTTAAATGTTTTTGCCAAAGACTCCTTTCCAGAGGTTTGTAGAGAAAAGTCACCGCTATCAGCATTAATCCGATTTTTAATGTCATTTGTGTCATGGGTGCAAAACTTGCGTTATGTTTTAGCCCTGAGTTAGTTTTGTTTAGTTAAATATCAAACTTTTGCTCTTTCTCTCACAGAACTATGTTCCTACAGTGTTTGAGAACTACACAGCCAGTTTTGAGGTGGACACATTGAGAGTTGAGCTCAGTCTTTGGGATACTTCAGGTAAGAGGAGGAAAAACCATTTGATGTTGCTAATTTGATGTCTCTGGGGACTCCTATAACTCCACACACATTCACATATGTATGTAGGCTATTGGTCGTTAAAGAAGCTGTAATGAGGTTTTGGGCTTTGTGGGCTGTGTGATGGAGTTTTCTGAAGGCCATGAACTTCTGGTGGACTGGGACTGGGACTGGGTGAGGAGGACTACAGAGATTCTTGTTAGACTTATAAGATACATAGGTGAATGAAATTCATAAATCCATGAATATGTGGGATGATGAGGTTGGAGAAGGAGCAAAAATGTAAAAGTGAGTGTTAGGACTATTTTCATATTTTATTAACATACACTTTTAAAAATGGAGGTTTTAGTTCAGCTTGGTTTCAGGTTTTTCTTATCAAAAGCAGTTTATAGGGACATCTTGAGTTTAGTTCAAGTTTAATATAAGCTCTTCATGTTGCACTATCAGCATATTAATGTCTCTGTTCTGTGAATGCATGGTTGTCTGAAGTTTTTTGTGGTTCTTCAACTAAATCAAGCTGTAAAACTGTGTTTGGTTGACTGTAAGCTTTATTTTTTAAGAGTGTACAGTAAACTAGACCAATCCAGTTGATACAGACTCAACACGGATTGCCGGTGATGTTCTCAGAGCAGACTCACTCTTGACTCCCACACTTTTAGAATGACTCAGATGAATGTTGTTATAGGTAATACTATTCTCAAAATAAACTACAGATATGTAGGTAGTATGTGATCGTAGCATGATTTCTTTCAACACAGTTGTTTATAGATTGACACATCTGTTTATATATTATGAAATCTGAATTTACAGTTATCATCTTTTCCCTCCTCATCTATGTTTTTGTGAGAAACCATGAAGCTGCTCGCCATCCTTTTATCAGACTGGACAGACATTTCAAAATGAGACCTTTAAATATTTCAGTAATGATGGTTAATGATCTGAGGTTTGAACTCATTTCAAGCCCTACAAACTTTCTAGAGCAGATTCAACACTCACCTCCCAGAATAGCGCTGTAACCTAATTTACTGAGCTTGAATCCTGAGTACATGTGCTGTCTTCCTATAGCGGGACAGTGACTTGCACATGCAGGGACCCCAACAGAAAATCAACCAGTATTAGTCTAACCCCGACTTAGAATGTCCTTAGAAGATTTTACTCACAGTGACACTTTCAATAAATAGATAAGGAAAATTCTTATTTACTTTAGACTTTTAGTTATTAGACTTTATTTAAAGACTTTGAACTGTCAAATGACTAGTTTATGGGGATGTTGTTCTATGCAACTGCATGCTGTAAATTAATAAATATAGAAGAAAAGATGAGAAAAAAACTCCTAAAATGACAAAAGCACATAACATTTTTAAAACTCAAAATATAATTGAAGTGAAAAAAAATAAATATATATATATATATTTATAAATGAAAGCTATAACAAAAATAAAGAAAAATTGTATAATAAAATTGTATACATGCTGTTGAACAGTTTGATAGATTGTGAATATATAAATAAGTTAAATAATATAAATAAAATATAAGTATAAGTATTAAATATAAGTATAATATAAATAAGAGTTAATTGCAGCGGTTATACAAGGTGTGCATATAAATCTAATAGCAACATACCTTAAAATAATTCAGCTGTATAAATGTAACACGCTCAACTTATACGTTCCATTGTACTGTTATTGCTCAAATGTATTAGTTTATGTTAAGAAATCATTTATTTATTAGTACAGTGTTTTTGTGTCTATTTGCAGGGTCTCCATACTATGACAACGTGCGCCCCCTCTCTTACCCAGACACTGATGCAGTTCTCATCTGTTTTGATATCGGTCGACCAGAGACTCTGGAGAATGTGCTAAGGAAGGTAAGCTGATTTGAAAGACATCTGTTCATCGATGCTGAATGTTTTAAACTGTTGTAGCTCTGAATTGTGGTTGGGATATTCTCACAAGCCCCATCTTTGTGG